CCCTCCGTCACCAGGCTGGAGTGCAATGGCACGATCTCGGCTCACTTCAACTTCTGCCTCCTGGGTTCAAGCAATCCTCCCACCTCAGCCTCCCAAGTAGCTGGGACTACAGGCGTGCACCACCATGCCCAGCTAGTTTTTGTATTTTTAGTCAAGACAGGGTTCACCATGTTGCCCATGATGGTCTTGATCTCCTGACCTCATGATCTGCTGGCCTCGGCCTCCCAAAGTGCTGGGACTACAGGTGTGAGCCACTGCGCCCAGCCATGACTGAATTTTCTACACTGAAACCTAAAACAAAATTTTCTTTAGGAATGTTTTAAATTTTAAGTGCTCTTAGTAGTATTTAGGGCTAGATATACTGAAAATCAATTTATACAAAGCTTTTCAGAAATATAATTATAGCATAACACAAGGATTTCAATAATGAATAACAGAGTGATATTTTGGTAACTGGCTAACAAAATTCCAGTGCACACACAGTTTAAGGGAATCATCATTATGTTAACAGACACATAAAATCTCATTTTACTTTTGTATAACCTAACTCTATTTCTAAGTCATAGTTAATGGCTAGAAATGCCTTTTTAAAATATATCATTCCTATGTATTGAAAGTGACAGACAAAAAAAGGGAAGGTCCTAAGGAATGTTCTAAGTTTACTGACTTGGTTACCTTGAAGAAATAATTGACATTCCCACTTAACTTTTTAAAAATTGCATTTGATCCTAGCTTAAATATAAATGTTGACATACATACATGATCAATGAAGGAGCCAAGAAATTTATTCATCATATGATATGCTTTTATACTCTGCTCCAAAGTACTTGCTGATGAACTCAATAGTCTAGCAGGGCCATTTTTCTAATGTAAAAAAGAGAAATGAATAAATGCAAAGTCTTATGTTCTTGGTATCTAGAAACATTAAATATTAACAAAATATATCGTAACTGTACTTGATACAAACCCGTATTAGAGTCTCATGAATTTTGTCATAGTGTTGTCTCATCTGGTTAGAAATTGCAATCTGAAAAGTCTGACCATCTGTGTTGGGTACCAAACCTCTCTGGCTACACAAATTTTCCTGAAAAGTTAAAAAATTTAAGTTAACATCAATATTATAAAAAATTTTCTGCCTCAAAAAATTCAGATGCTAAATGAAATTTACTGAAACTGTATTTGAGAAACAGATTCTACCATTATCCAAGGTTCCCAGATTTTGCCAATTTCTACTTTAATTCATACTCCTTTACAGGTTTTTATATCATTTTCTTTCCTCTACTTAAATATATTTATTTACTTATTTATAATATATAAATATATTTATCACGTTATAATATATATTTATATATTTAAGTAGAGCAGATATGCATATTTAGGTAGAGCATATATATATTTAAGTAGAGCAGAGTAAAGGAGATGACATAAAGACATATATATATATTTATTATTTATTGATATTCTTAGCTTTCTTTATAATTAACCTTATTGCTCTTTTAATGTATGCTCAAAAGTCTTGCTTTGGAGTTAACCAGATTTATAATTGCAAATGGTTTTTTCTTGTTTTCTAAACATTTTTGAGATGCTTCCTTAATTAATTACAATAAAACATACTAATAAATGACCAAACAGTTAATGTTATAAACCAGATATCCATTTTGGGTTTCCTTAACGCAACTTGGATCCTGACAACCACAAATATGTAAAAAAAATTTTTGATTTGATTGATGCTTCAAGGTTCGACACAAGTCATCTTGCCTCCATAAAGCCTGTCTACCTACTGCAGCAGTTAATATTTTCCTTCTTTGCCTAAATCTAACCAGCAAACATGATATGGTACTTGGCTTTCTATACACTTAAAGTAAGAATACATGTAGTGAACTTCTCTATTTAAAAAAAAATTTTCTTGATTAAAAACATACATGCCATTGCAGAAAATTTACAAAATAAAGAGAAATACAAAAAAGAAAAAAAAATTTAGCTAAAATCTCAACACCCAGAGATACAGATTATCTTAAGGAATTTCATTTCCAGTCTTCTCCCCAAGGCATATACATATAGATAGCATAAAATTGGGATCACAATGATTTCTTTTTCACTTAATGTTATAGCCTGAGCAATTACACTATGTCATTAAATATTCTATAAAATATTATTTTACCATCTATTTAAGATTTCACCACAAAGGTAAGCCAATTTATTTAATATTCTCCAATTTTACATACTTTTCCCCTTACAAATAACCTCTGTGATGAAGATCTTGAATTTAAGTAGCTGTTCATATTGTTACTTTTTCCTTGAGCTAACATTCATAAAATCAGTGAATCAAAGATTATGAACTTTTAAAAAGCTCTTGGTATACATTGCCCAAACACTTTCCAGAAGGTCTGCATAAATTTAACCTGCACCAGTAGCTTTGTGGTTGCCGATTTCACTGTGTCCTTGATGCTAAGTATTAGCTTTTCTTTCTTTCTTTTTTTTTTTCAGACAGAGTCTCATTCTGTAGGCAGGCACCAGGCTGGAGTGCAATGGTGCGATCTCAGCTCACTGCAATCTCCACCTCCCGGGTTCAAGCAATTCTCCTGCCTCAGCCTCCTGAGTAGCTGGTAATACAGGTGCGCACCACCACACCCAGCTAATTTTTGTATTTTAGTGGAGACAGAGTTTCTCTGTGTTGGCCAGGATGATCTCGATTTCGTGACCTCGTGATCCACCTGCCTCAGCCTACCAAAGTGCTGGGATTACAGGCCTGAGCCACCACGCCCAACAAGTATTAGCTTTTCTAAAAAATATTTTGCTAGTTTGAAGAGAGGAAAACTATTATTTTTATAGTCAGTTCTTTGATTATGAGTTAAAATATTTTTAGAGGTTTATTAGTGTATATTAGTCACTTTTCCATTGAGATTTTAATTTAGTGTTTTCTTAGTGATTTGTGTAACTCTTAACACTGTTATCAGTATCTTTGTAATATTTGTTATAAGTATTTTGTCCTAACTCACTCTCTTTTATGATTGTTTGATATGTAAATGTACTGTATTAATAAAGTAACATCAATTAATATTCCCTTTTTGATGCTTTCTATTCTTTATCCTTAGAATATCATCCCCCAGTCTGAAATATTCTTTTCTAGTTTCTTATGGCTTCCCGTTTTGCATTTAACTTTTTAATCACAATATAATTTCTAATGTTTAATCAAGTGATCCAGTTCAATGTATTAAATAAATTCTTCTCTGAAATGCCATTAATCATGTATTAAATTCTTACAAGTCACAGTTATGGCCCCTTAATCACTAAATCCTCTTGATTTTTCCTTTTAAGCATATCTTATTCTTTAAAAAATGTTATTATGAAGTTTTTTCCAAACGTACATACTAGAGAGAATAGTAAACCACTCATCACCTAGCTTCAGCAATTATGAATATTTTATTAATTTTGTTTAATCTATTCTCCCAAATTTTCTTTTTTCTTAGAGTATTTTAAAGTAAAATCCAGACCATGTCATTTCATCGGTAAATGCTTTGTATGTATTTCTAATAAGGACTTCAAAATAAATAACTACCATGCCATTTTCATACCTAACAAAAGTAATTGTTACTTAACATTTAGTCCACTAAAAATCTCCCAGATTTTTTAAATAGTTGGTTTGTCTGAATCAGGATCCAAATGAAGTCCATACATTGTATCTCATTAGTTTGTTTATCAAACCTTTCTTATAATAGTTCATACACTGCCACCATTACCCTTCCATTTCTTTTCATGCCACTGATTTGTTTGGAGACACTGAGTCATTTATCCTGTGAGGCAGCCTACACTCCAGACCTGGCTAATTACTTCCTATGGTGCTATTTAATTTGTGCCTTTATCCCTTGTATTTCCCGTAAACTGGTGGTTAGAGCTAGTGGGTTGATTATATTCAAGTTCAGTTTTATATCCAAAAATACTTCATGTGTGATGTTATGTACTTTCTACTGCATCATGGCAGGAAGTATATATGTCAGTTTTCCTTATTTTTATTTACAGTGTGTCCAGATTATGTCAACCTAATCCCTCATTATAAAGTTCCTTGCCAACAAATACTTAATTGTTTAGCATGCACTGATGATGGCAGCTTACATTCATCGATCCATTAGTCATTGCAAAATGGTAATTTTTCTAACTTAGAATTCCTTCTACTTTCCTCTATAAGGAGGAACTTTCCCTCATGAATTGGTTACTGTGAAATACAGTTCATATAGGAACTGCAAGATAAAATTAGATTCCTTTCCTTTATGAATGTTCAGGGTAATGAGTTGGTCCCTAGCAACTTTCAAAGTGATCAATAGGCCAGGCACAATGGCTCACACCTGTAATCCCAGCACTTTAGGAGTGCTGAGATCAATCCCAAAGCCGATCATCTGATGTTAGGAGTTCAAGAGCAGCCTGGTCAACGTGATGAAACCCACTCTCTACTAAAAATACAAAAATTAGCCAGATGTGGTGGATGCCTGTAGTCCCAGCTACTAGGGAGGCTGAGACAGAAGAATCACTTGAACCTGGGAGGCAGAGGCTATAGTAAGCCAAGATCGAGCCACTGCACTCAAGCCTGGGTGACAAAGTGAGACTCTGTATCAAGAAAAAAAAAAGTGATCAATAAAGACTTTTTTAAAAAACAAATCCTAGATTCATAAGAATCCATTTCTCAACTTAAAAACAAAAAGATATAAAACATTTTCATACCGCTTCTCTTTTAAGGTTCATATTCATTTCTTCCATATTAGTATCTGCATGCCCATGTACTGATCTACCGTGAATGTAATATCCAAAACATTTGTGGGATAACAGAAACACTGATATCTATAAAAAGAGAATAAAAAGAAGCAATTAATCTACAAAACAATAAAAAATTAAGTTTTCCTTAAAATTTCTTTTTCCCAAAACAATAAAGATTTTATTCTTGAGAAACATATAAAGAATAAAGTAATCAAAGATAATAAGGTTTTTTTTAAGTGTTTGAAAAGGAGATTGAAGATATTTTCCAAGAAAAGGAGAAATAAGCCTGGGCAACATAGGGAAACTCTGTCTCTCCACACAAAAAAATAGTTGAGTGTTGGTGGTGCACACCTGTGGTCCCAGATACTTGGGAAGCTGAGGTGGGAGGATTGCTTGGACCCAGGAGGTCAAGGTGGCAGTGAACAACAATTGCACCACTGTACTGCAGTCTGGATTATAATGTGAGACCTTTTCAGAAAGGAAAGAAGGGAGGGAGGGGAAAAAAGAAAAGAGTAGAAGCAGCAAGAAGCAGGCACGCTATATAAACAATTTTCAGGGGTCCTGGGATGAATGAACTATTTGGCATCATAAGAAATTCATAATTAAGAAACTGCAAATAAAGATGAATAAAACAGGCTGGGCATGGTGGCTCACACCTGTAATCCCAGCACTTTAGGAGGCCAGAGGTGGGCGGATCACCTGAGGTTAGGAGTTCAAGATCAGCCTGGCCAACATGGTGAAACCCCATCTCTACCAAAAATACAAAAAAAAATTAGCTGGGCATGGTGAGGCACACCTGTAATCCCAGCTACTCAGGACACTGAGGTATGAGAATTGCTTGAACCCGGGATCCAGAGGTTGCAGTGAGCCAAAATGGTGCCACTGCACTCCAGCCTGGGTGACAGAGCAAGAGTGTTTAAAAAAAAAAGATGGAAAAAACTAAGGCAGTATTAACTTGTAGCTTATTATCATTATCTCTGGAATTAACAACTGGTAGAAAATTGGACCAAAAATTTAATCATACCAAATCACTTTTAAAGCCTCTCTTAACAAACTCATGACCTTTAAACAGGGAAAATTAACAGTTGCAAGACGAAGTCAGAAAATACTTACATTACTCATAGAGCATAAATCAACGAACTGTCGAATTTTATCTTCTATAAATCTCTCATAAAAGACAGCAAAGAACACGATCTGAAACATTAAGCCAAGTTTATGATTATTAGCTTTTAGGATTTTAATTTTCTTTTACAGTCACAGTGTAATATCTTAAGAAAAATAAAGTTCCAACCAAGAGCACAGTGGCCTTTAACAGTTCCTAAGGGATAAAATCCTACTTTTCATTTCTGACTCTTCTGTCAAAGGGAGGAGGATTTTAGAACTGTGTTGAGTCATTGAGGGTGCCTATTTTGAGTTTTGAAAACTTTTCTGTGTCATTAAAACAAGCTATGACAAACATGTGGGAAGAGAGAAAAAGTCTTTAACTCCTCTATTTAAAGCTGTCCCCACTGTCCCCCATTCCTGCCCTCCACTCCCCTCTTTTCTATTTACTCTCTAGCTCATGTCCCTGCTGATCCTCTTCACAGCACTTGGCACAATCTGTCATTTTTTCCTGTAAAAACATATCCATGAGCTCCAGTACATAAGACACACTCAAATATGTGAATGAATAAATGAATCTACAGCAGCTGACTGCTAAGAAGGTTTTTCTACATACTCTCTCTATATATTTTAAATCTCTTTAAAGGATGTGAAAAACAGCAATGTTCAAGGTTTAAAAAATAAAAGATACCACTTAAAAGCTGAAGAGGCTGGATTTAAGGAAATAAAAGGAGTGAACAGTGAAGCCTGGCATTATTAGAATGAAGAAGAGTTTAGACAAATTTATTTATTTAATCATTCATTCATTTTATTTTATTATTTTCTGAGACAGGGTCTCACTCTGTCACCCAGGCTGGAGTGCAGTGGTGTGATTTTGGTTCACTGCAACCTCCGCCTCCCAGGTTCAAGCGATTCTCCTGCCTCAGCCTCCCAAGTAGCTGGGATTACAGGTATGCACTACCACACCCAGCTAATTTTTGTATTTTTAGTAGAGATGTGGTTTCACCATGTTGGTCAGGATGGTCTCTATCTCCTGACCTCATGATCTGCCTACCTTGGCTTCCGAAAGTCCTGAGATTACAGGCATAAGCCTCCACACCCGACCTAACAAATTTATAAAACTGTAATAGGTTGTTAAAGGAACCCTTAAGGATTCTTGACAAATATGTAAACACTGATCATTTTAGATTACAATGGAGAGAAATGCTTTATTATCCAGCTGATGGAAAAGTAAGAAGCAAAGAATGAAGTTAGCTGGTGGTGTCTGAGATTGCTAGGTGCTGTCCCAACAATCCTTTCTCCTTAGTAACAGATCCCTTCCTTGAGCAGTATATACTACCGTCCAGCTGAAAGATTCTAGTGCAGCTAGGCGTGGCCATGCAATTAAGTTCTAGCCAAGAAGATGTTGAAAGGTACTTCTGAAAAGGCTCTTAAAGAGAAGGTGAGCTCACCCACCCTAATTCCCTCCTGTAACTCACTGGCCATCATGGACCATGAAGGGACTGTGGAGATGGAAGTCCCTTGTGGCCAGGCAGAAGGACAGGCTTTGGGGTCCTGACAGTAGCACTAAGCCACCATTCCATTCCAGCCCTGTACTTTCGACCTCTGTTCTTCTTTTTCATGGGAAAGACAAGGTTCTCTTTGATTTCAGCCACTCTTACTTTGTTTTTGGTTGTGTTATATTGAACCAAATATGAAAAGCTTCAGATGATATGGCTTTAGACTCTCTACATCTAGACGAATCTGATATACTCACAAAATATATTGGTATATTGTGCAAAATATTTCCTTACTATTACATTGATAATAAACGTCAAACCCTATACTCTTTTGATTCTATTTTGTTTCAAATTCTAATATGTTTGTCTTCCTTTCTGGTTGTCAGCTATCTTTCACTAATTCTATCTCTGTGGTTTCAAGTTTGAATAAGTGTCATCAATTTAAAATAAGTACACATTTAAAAAGTTAATTCTGCCTGGCGCAGCGGCGCGTGGCTGTAGTCCCAGCTACTTGGGAGGCTGAGGTGGGAGGATCCCTTGAGCCCAAGGGTTCTGGGCTATAGTGTGCTACAGCCCAGATTGGGTGTCTGCACTAAGTTCGGTATCAATATGGGGACCTCCCGGAAGCGGGGGACCACCAGGTTGCCTAAGGAGGGGTGAACCGGCCCAGGTTGGAAACGGAGCAGGTCAAAACTCTGGTGCTGATCAGTAGTGGGATTGTGCCTGTGAATAGCCACTGCACTCCAGTCTGGGCAACATAGCAGGACCCCATCTCTAAATAAATAAATAAATAAATAAAAATTTAAAAATTAAAAAAAAAAGTTAATCCTCAGATTACTGAATACTAACAACTGGGCCTAATTCTCTAAGAATAAGCTCTCTTAAAAATATTTCAATCCCAAAAGATCAGCTGGGCACAGTGGCTCACACCTGTAATCCTGGCACTTTGGGAGGCCAAGGTGGGAGGAGAACTTGAGTCCAGGAGTTTGAGACCAGTCTGGCCAACATGGTGAAACTCATCTCTACTAAAAATATAAAAAGTAGCTGGGCATGGTGGTGGGTACCTGTAATCTCAGCTTCTCAGGAGGCCGAGGCAGGAGAATCGCTTAAACTTGGGAGGCAGAGGCTGCAGTGACCCAAGATGGTGCCATTGCACTCTAGCCTGTGAGACAAGAGTGAAACTCTGTCTCAACAACAAAAAAACTGCTGGGTGTGGTGGCATGTGCCTGTAGTCACAGCTACTCATAAAGCTGAGGCAGAAGGATTGCTTGAGCCCGGGAGGTTGAGGCTGCAGTGAGCTATGATGGCACCATTGCAGTCCAGAATGGGAGACAGGGGAAGACTGTCTCTTAAAAAAAAAAAAACCAAACAAACAAAAATCTCAAAGGATCCTTAAAAATAGGCTATTTTAGGTAGATAGCTAGTAGCCAGCTATAGGAAATTAAAACTGGTTTCTCTGGAGATTCTATCTTCAAGTGCTGATTATAAAAGTTAAGGAAATACGGCCGGGCGCGGTGGCTCACGCCTGTAATCCCAGCACTTTGGGAGGCCGAGGCAGGTGGATCACGAGGTCAAGAGATCGAGACCATCCTGGTCAACACGGTGAAACCCCGTCTCTACTAAAAATACAAAAAATTAGCTGGGCATGGTGGCGCGTGCCTGTAATCCCAGCTACTCAGGAGGCTGAGGCAGGAGAATTGCCTGAACCCAGGAGGCGGAGGTTGCGGTGAGCCGAGATCGCGCCACTGCACTCCAGCCTGGGTAACAAGGGCAAAACTCCGTCTCAAAAAAAAAAAAAATAATTAAAAAATAATAATAATAAAAGTTAAGGAAATTTTTAAGCAAACAGGGGTCTTTCTGTTTATGAGTATCTGAAAGTTAGATGCTTGCCGCTGCTTCTTTCTTTTTCTTTTCTTCCTTTCCTCTTCTTTTTCTTTATAACCTCTGCTAGATCCATGGGACCTGAGCCTAAAAAGACTTATTTTTAGTTTTGGTCATTTCAATAAATATTTCAAGAAAAACTCCCCAAGGAGTACGAGCAATTTGAATGAGATTAATGATATATAAATAAACGTAAATAATAAGTTATGTTTCAAAAGAAAAGAACATATTCAGGGTAGCCTATCTGTCCCTATATCTTCATATAAACTAAATAAGGAGTCTGTCCTATGACTATAAAGCTGCAGACTCTCAAAGGCCCTTCAGAGCCTCACTATTGACAAGAACGTGAACTCTGGAATCGGGCTGCCTGAGTTCAAATTCCAGTTCTGCCAGTTACAAGTTGCATGACTTTAGGCAATTTTTTAGCCTTCCTGTGTCTCAGTTTCCTCATCTATAAAATAAGGATAATAACAGAGCCTATCTCTGAGGGCTATTATAAATATTAAAACATTATTAGGTATAATGCAATTACAATTGTCCTTTAGTATGTTGGGATTGATTCCAGAACCCCCAAGTACACCAAAATACACCCATACTCAAGTCCCACAGTCAGTCCTGCTACAACCCATGTATACAGAAAGTTGACCCTCTATAGATGCAGAATTTGCATTCTGTGAACACTGTATTTTCTATTCTCAATGAGTTCAGTCAAACAGTTCAAGCCCATGTTGTTCAAGGACCAACAGTAATTATACTTGATCTTAGCTTAAAGGCCAAGAAATGATGGATCAACTGTGACTACTTAATACAGTGCCTAATACAATATAAGAACTGACTACTGGCTGAGTGCAGTGGCTCACACCTGTAATCCCAGCACTTTGAGAGGGCAAGGGGGGTGGATCACCTGAGGTCAGGAGTTTGAGACCAGCCTGGCCAACATGGTGAAACCTCATATCTACTAAAAATACAAAAAAATTAGCTGGGTGTGGTGCTGGGCGCCTGTAGTCTCAGCTACTCAGGAGGCTGAGGCAGGAGAATTGCTTGAACGTGGAAGGCAGAGGCTGCAGTGAGCCAAGATCATGCCATTGCACTCCAGCCTGGGTGAGACTCTGTTTAAAAAAAAAAAAAAAAAAAGAACTGACTATTAGCTATTGTTCTTGTCACCTTCTTTCTGCTACAGAAATCAGGATGTGGTCAATATTTGATAATAACCAGTAAGTAGGCAGAGTTAATAAATAAGCAATGTTACTTAGAAGTATAATCTCTTATTACCTGTATAATTCCAATGGCTAGCCAAAGAGCAGCAGACACTGCATATCTCAAAATGCGGCTGTAAGGAGCTATATAGCTAGGTGGGCTTCTAGAAAGACTAGAAGATGAGTCCATTAATGCTAAGTTCTTGAATCCCACAACCTGGAGTAAAAAGAAAAAATAATAATTTAAACACATATGGACAAAGAAAAGTACTCTAGACTGAAAATGGAAAACCTCTCCCTACTGCTCACCTTGAAAAACTAAAAGATCCAAGTTTGTATAAACAGTAGAAGACCTAGATAAAAATAATTATTATTCAGTATTTTAACTACAAAGTATTGGCCGGGCGTGGCGGCTCACGCCTGTAATCCTAGCATTTTGGGAGGCCGAGGTGGGTGGATCACCTGAGGTCTGGAGTTCAAGACCAGCCGGGCCATCATGGTGAAACACCATCTATAAAAAAAAATAAAAATAAAAATAAATAAATTAAAAAAAAACTACAAATATTTATTACACAATATTTAGTTCATTTGGTATTGTTCTCAATATGACTAAGGACCAAATATAAAACCTTACTGTCATACACACTCAGTAAACTACCAATGTGTGAAATCAACAACTAGTATTTCATGAGTATTTAACATGTGCCAGCCACTGTACTAAACATTTTTATACTTTAAAACAGTATATTACAAAATGTCTTCTAAAGGACATAAGTTCTTTGGAAAAGGAATCCATGTTTAAATACATTTGGTCCATCTATTACATTCACCACCATGCCTCCCACCTTGTAGAATAAAGGCTCTGAGAAGTTTTACAGTAAAAAGTGGCTACATGATTACATCGAATCCAATATTTTCCAAACTTACTTGACTGTAAAACATTTTCACGTGACACCTTTTAAAGCTGAGGAAACACTCTTAAACACACACACAAACAATTTTAGTACAAAAAAAAGAAGTCTGTGAGGTAACAAACTAGCTTAATTTAGCCATTCCACAATCAAGACATATATCAAAACACTGTGTTGTAAACTATGAACATATATAATTTTTATCTATCCACTTAAAAAAAACAAAAGAAAAAAGGAGAGAAAAAAACCAAAATACTACTTCAAGTGAATTTTGCAAGTATTGCTTGTATCATTCAAAAGCCCTAGGGACACAGATGTTCTTTTACTAGTTTTAAAAAAGGAAAGGGGAAAGAGAATGAAAAGAAGAAAAAAAAGGGAAGGCTAACAGATAGAACCTGAAAGTTAATAATGTATATTCAACCTTAATTAAGCAGATAATTCCTGAGAAAACCTATTCCTATATAAACGGTTTCCATGTTCAGTCTCATACTCAGTACTGAGTACTTCTTTTAATAATTCCAACCAAATCCATGAAATAACTGCAAATATATCGTAAATATGTTGTCTTGTTCAGTCGTAGCCCCAGCTCTTAGCACAGAACATAGTCTATAGTAAGTGTTCTATAAAAATTTGTTGAAAAATATCAAACTTATAATCATGATTCTTTTTTTTTTTTGAGACCGTGTCTCACTCTGTTGCCCAGGCTGGAGTACAATGGTGCAACCTCGGCTCACTGCAACCTCAACCTCCCAGGTTCAAGCAATTCTCCTGCCTCAGCCTCCTGAGTAGCTGGGATTACAGGCACGTGCCACCGCGCGCCGCTATTTTTTTTTTTTTTTTTTGTATTTTTAGTAGAGACAGGGTTTCACCATGGTAGTCAGGATGGTCTCAATCTCTTGACCTCGTGATCCGCCCGCTTCAGCCTCCCAAAGTGCTGAGATTATAGGCGTGAGCCACAGTGCCCGGCCTATAATAGTGATTCTAATGCAGGGAAGAATATGGATCATGGGGTAGGGAGGTTTTTCAAAATACAGATACCTGGGGTTACCTCAAAGCTACCATATCAAACATAGTCTCTAAGGGTGAGCCTGAGCATAGGTATTTTACAAAAGCTCCCCAAGGGATTCTGATATAAACCATTGGGTTTAAAGCTACTCCTTTCACCTACAGCAGTCAAACACACAGAGAGTATTATAGAATGGTGTTTGCCAGAAGTTAGGGAATTGGTACAGAGTTGTTTAAGAGGTACAGAGTTTCAGTTTTGCGAGATGAAGAGTTCTAGAGATGAATGGTGGTGATGATTTTGCATGACAATGTGAATGTACTTAACACTATTAAACTCTACACTTAAAAATACTTATGATGGTAAACTACGTAATTTATTTTACCACAATTTTTTTGAAGTTGCTTCTTTTTAATGGCTTCACAACAATCTTTCAACCTTTAGAAAAATCTTCCACTGTCATGAAAACTTAGTTGGAATTATATTAGTTTAATATTTCTAAGGTACATGTAAGTTCCATACAATCACATCAAACAGTTTATACCTCCAAAAAGAAGAGGACAATAAATACTTGAAAGAGCGAATTAATTTTTCTCACAGTCTGAATTTCATTCCATTCATTTGCTACAAAATACGTTCTCCATATGCTTACAGGAACAGTGGCACTTCGTACACCACCCTCACCTGGTCAGGGAAATAAAATGAGTAAAAGAGTTTTACCTCCTTTGCTCTGCAAGGGTAGCAAAAGAATTTTGGTACAAATGTTTATTTCAGTTACCTTCAACAGCTTTAAGAACCTTTCCTTTAGGTCGCTCCCAATCAATAAAGAATATATCTATTGTAATCTGGGATATGAGCTTATGCAAAAATTGTAGTGCCTGAGAATGACATATAATAAAACACCTAAGAAAGTATCAGCATTAAGCCTGCTTATGAAACCAATATTGATTCTTTAATAAACATATTGTTATTACAAGAACATAAACTTTTGTGAGTGAATTCACATAAAGTTATAATACCACTAGGGGATCATTAGAAACTCATCAGATAACCTGGAATCCCCAAATTTACAAAATTTTCATATATATATTACTTTACCTTCCCTTTTTTATTTTTTATTTTTTTAAAATAGAGACAGGGTCTCACTATGTTGCCCAGGCTGGAGTGCAGTTGCTATTCACAGTCATGATCCCACTACTGATCAGCACGGGAGTTTTGACCTGCTCCGTTTCCAACCTGGGCCGGTTCACCCCACCTTAGGCAACCTGGTGGTCCCCCACTCCTGGGAGGTCACCATATTGATGCCGAACTTAGTGCAGACACCCGATGGGCATAGCGCACTACAGCCCAGGACTCCTGGACTCAAGAGATCCTCCAGCCTCGGTCTCCCAAATAGCTGGGACTACAGGCACGTGCCACTGTGCCTGGCTCCCTTTTTATTTCTTTCTTTAAAATAGAAATACGAAAGGAGGAGACATTTTACCTCTTCCTCACATAGGAGCTTGTATAATTGACTCCTACCCAAAGACTCTAGAAACACACTTTGTTTTATAGATCAGCTGACTTCTTTATAAGTAAAGACATTTTCAAATATAGTTTTTCCTAAAGTTTTTGAATGCTCTTACTGTCTTTTTTTTTTTCTATTTCTGCTATTAAGATTTCTGATTTTTAAAGAATGTGTTGTTGAAACACATCTTCCTCATCTACAGAAGCAGTATGTTTAAACCGAGGCATTCTTTCTAGTTGCTGCATTATTGATCAAATGAAGGATAAAAATCTAAGTGTGGGATACTTCACTTAGATAAGCTCCCAGTCAGTGGAAAAAGCAGACACTTAATACTCACAGTACAGTGGGATAAGGACTAGCAAAAGGCATATAAAGAGCTTTACCTACATTGATGGAGAACACTGAGTTGGGGATGTGGGGGCCATAGGAAGAAAGGAGCAAAGTAATATGGAGATAGACAAAACAATTTTTAAGATCTCAACCCTTTATCCAGAGTGGTACCTTTTACCCTTGATTAATGAAGACAAAATTCATGCCTGAAGACATTTTGTCCCATTGTGAATGTATCGTCAGACTTTAAAGAAAGTTATATACTAAAATATCATTTTATCAAATTAGTCATAACTCATGTTAACCCAAATAGATTTATAGCTTCTTTGAAAAAAATATTTAAGGCAGATTTTCAGACTGAGTATCTACTATAAATAAAAGTAAATTAACCACATAAAATGATGAAGGCTTTCTTTCAAAACCAAAGTGAATTTCACGCCAAAGATTTTGAAAGCATTTTAATTTTAAAGACTTATTAGTTCATTAGCAGGCCTTTTAATTTGGTAAAACTTACCTTCAGAGCAAAGGCACATCCAACATAAGTGACAAAACGTTCTTCCTGAACTGGCATTGGGAGCAAAACAGAGACAGACTTCTGTGCCTATAATAAAAATTACTTGATTAAATATAATCACACAAAGTTTTTGTTGTTTTGTTGTTGTTGCTTTTTGGAGAGGAGGGTCTCAGTATGTTGCCCAGGCTGAACTTGATTCTGGACTCACAGGATCCTCCCAGCCAAGTCTCCCAATTGAACAAGGTTTTTACTAAGCACAATTGATAAATCAAAAAAGCATAAAAGAGGAAGATAGTGATGTAATTGATAAGCTCAGCACACTCAAGGAGTGGGGAGTTGGGCACCTGTCTTAATACTACTGATCAAAAATTCTCCCAAATAAAAATAGTTCCTTAAAAAGAAAGCTTTTCAATTATTCAGACATTGGCAGTTGGGGTAAATTCAGAAACTCACTCACTTTGAAGAAAATAAGCCAATAAAGACCTGTTCCCACTGTGATGATAAAGAAAACATTGGCCAGATCGCCAGCATAGTACACCAAGAATTTCATAACTGTCTGCAATTAAAAAAAAAAATTACAGCTGTTTAAGACTCAATATATATGCCACCTTTAGTAACACTACCACTTTTATACATCATCCACTCCATTTCTGAAGCCTGTTTCACATATCCACATACGATCAAGCTATAAAGGCCACCTGCATCCCCCTCCTTGCTACCTTTTTGTTCCTTATCTTTCTGTCCATTCCTGGTAGCCTCTTTTTTCAACTCTTCTTGTGTTTCACTATCTAAGAAAGGTGAACTGCTTCCTAGTTTTCTGTTAGTTGAGAATCCTCCACTCTAATCTCTCCTCCACATTATCACCAGAGTTCATTTTCTAAAATGCAAATTGGATTGTGTCACTCCTCATGTTAAAAAAGGAACAACTCCTCATTGCAGTATAAATTCCTAATCCACAAGGTCTTTCACAATATGGGCCAAAATTAACTTTTCATCCTCATCTGCCAGTTCCAGCTGTGTGGTCAATGATTAACCACTCCATTTCATCTTGAATACTTTGTAGAAAATGGGCATTGTTTTTCCAAGTACTCTTCCTCTCTCTGGCAAGCTCTCATGATCCCTGAGAGCACAGACTATGGCTGCCTTCACTCACTATCACATCCTCCAGTGCCTGGTAGAGTGCCAGACACTTAGACAGTAGAGCCTCATTGACTATTGTGGAATGAATAGATAGCCCCATTTAAAGTTCACTTCTCTAGAAAGCCTTTCTGGACTATCTGTCACAAGTAGCAAATCAAGTCCCCCTGCCAATTCCTTAGCTCACTGGATTTGGAATCAGAAAGACACTTTGGTTAAGTTACCATGTAGCCTTTCTCATGTTCTTCATCAACAAAATGGAAATACCTATTACTGAGTTGTAGTAAAAATAAAGTGAGTAGAAAATTTAACCTTTGCCTCCATTTCAACACGTGTAAAATGTGAATAAAAATATCTAACTTCAAAGAGCTATTGTGATTAAGTTATATCATACACATAAAGCTTTATACATAAATTATATACATAAAGCTTTAAAAAGTACCCAGTACATGGTAAGTATTTTTTAAATGTTTGATAAAAATAAAAGGTTAAACATGAAGTGAAAGTATAAAGTTAATAGAATAAAATGTGGACTATCTTCGTGATCTTGACATAGGGAAGGTTTTCCTAAACAAGTTCCTAAAAACACATACCATAACATGAAAATATATTCAGATATGATGATATCAAAACTAAAAGTTTCTGGCCAGGCGCAGAGGCTCATGCCTGTAATCCCAGCACTTTGGGAGGCCAAGGCAGGCAGATCACGAGGTCAGCAGGTCGAGACTGGCGTGACCAACATGGTGAAACCCGGTCTCTATTAAAAATACATAAATTAGCCAGGTGTGGTGGCATGCACCTGTAATCCCAGCTACTCAGGAGGCTGAGGCAGGAGAATCACTTGAACCTGGGAGGCGGAGGTTGCAGTGAACCAACATCGTGCCACTGCAGTACAGCCTGGGCGACACAGTGAGACTCTGTCTCAAAAAAACAAAAACAAAAACAACACAAAACAACAAAAAAACTGAGCATTTCTGTTAAACAAAGGACCACATGGATAAAAATAACAGATGGGTCACACATTTCAACATCAGAAACTAAAACACGATTACTGTTTAGAAAATACAAAAAAATCCTTCAAATAAACAAGAAAAACTGAAAACATGATAGAGAAATGGGTAAAGGATAAGGCAGTTCACAGGGGGAGAAATCCAAACTATTAAAATGTATATGAAGAGTAATCAGAGAAATAAAAATGAAATCAACAATGACATACTACTATATGCCACAAGATTGGCAAAAAATGGAAAGGTTGGAAAAATATCAAGTGTTGCCAAGCATGTGTAGAAATAAGAAGAGCACTGCAGGTAGGAATATAGACTAACACGCAGTATGATGCAAGAACATGAGGTATGCATATACCATATGACCCAGCAATACTTATCCTAATTACATGCCCCAGAAAAATTCATCCTCTAGCTGTGTCTTATGAGAAGGATTCAGAATAGCCAAAAGAGTAAAATATTCTTTAAAAACTCCTGAGATTATACCTGTAAATCAATCATGGGACTCCCAATGCGCCTCTTCCATCCTGCTGTCTTCAAAAGAGATGCTAAAACAGCTAGCCCACCCAACACACCCAAAGCAATCTAAAAAACAAAAGAACAATTTAGAATTTATGTAATTTCTCTCATCAGTATTCAAAAACACTGTGAACAGAAAGAAGTGCTCAAAAAACCCGTGGGGGAGGGGCATGTTGAAAGGACACAGGAGTCAAGGTGGAGAAACTTCTAATGGACAAATCTGGGACAATTTGAACAAGAAAATAAACTATAATTACTAGAACAAAATAAATATGAGTTCACACTGATTTTAAAATAAATAATTGAATAAATAGTGTGAGCAAAGGGAGAGTTTCTCCTCACAGTAAATTTCCAAATTAAAAAAATTAAAAAGTAATTAGGGAAATAGAAAATCACCATCAGGTAAATATCACAGTGAAACTTTCTGCAGGCAAGAATCGCCAATGGATGCTATTTAATAAAATTAGAGGGCAAAAAAAATAATAAGCAGGATGTTTGTATAATTTCAAAGATTCTCCCCCATGAGATCTATCTATGTATCTATCTATCTATCTATTTATTTATTTGAGACAGAGTTTCGCTCTTGTTGCCCAAACTGAAATGCAATGGCATGACCTTGGCTCACTGCAACCTCCACCTCCCACGTTCAAGTGATTCTCCTGCCTTAGCCTCTCGAGTAGCGTGGATTACAGGCGCCCACCACTATGCCCAGTTAATTTTTTTGTATTTTCAGTAGAGACGGGGTTTCACCATGTTGGCCAGGCTGGTCTCGAACTCCTGACCTCAGGTGATCCATCTGCCTCAGCTTCCCAAAGTGATGGGATTACAGGCATGAGCCACCATGCCTGACCAAGATACTTATTAATTACAAATGGAAAAATACAGTGGAAAACTCTGCAGACACCATCTTAGCCATATGATTAAAGTTAACATCACCAGTAAGAAGACATACTGACATCATGCACCTCCTGATATGATGCACTGAGAAGGCACAGTATCACTTTGGTGGCATCTTTTGCCAAAACTATACAAACTCAATTTGATCATGGGAAAATACCAGATAAACCCAAATTAAAGGCCAAAACAATGGACCAGTGCTCTTCAAAAGTGCTAGGTTCATGAAAGACAAAGAAAGACTAAGAATCTGTTACACATTGAAAAACACTAAGGAGATATGACAGCTAAAAGCAATATGTGACTCTAGATTGAGTCCTCAAACAGAAAAAAATTCAATAGTGAAATTCAAATCGTATGTAGATTAGTTAATAGGACTACATCAATATTATTTTCCAGATTATGGTCACTGTACTAAGGTTACGTAAGACGCTAACATTAGGGGAGGCTGGAGGAAGAATATCTGGCAAATTTTGTTCTAGCAACTTTCCTGCACATCAGAAATTATTTAATTATAAAATATACTGTATATATTTTAATAGGTTAAAATAAACTTACATCTGTCTGGATATGTGCTTCTCCATGATCCATTTCATATGTGACTGAGAAAGAAACCTGATATTTAAAACAAAACAAACTAGCTATACTGAAATTACATAATACAAACTTACTTTTATTATAAAAATACATTTGTAGCTGGGTTTTATCATAAACACTATAGTTTTTAACTATCAATATCACTAGAGTTGACCTTTACTTACATGTAAATAGATATGCTTTCGAGAATTATTTGTGCTGCTTTAAATATCTCTTTAATACACATTATAAAGGAGCTCATTAGGAGATAAGTTAGATTCATGCACAAAAGTTTAAGCCAAACTAATCATATTTCATTTTCTGATAGATTTCTGTAACTGAGGAATTTGATTACGCTTGTACATCAAGAATTTAGCAACTGGATAAACAACCATACCCTATGCAAATTCATCAAAGGTATGAACAAAATTCTTAAAGATACCATACACTGAGACAATGAGACAAGAGAAAGAAGAACCTAGTAAAGGGTTAGAGAAGAGGGCTGTGACGGGTAGGAGAGGAAGATACCTAAGTCTTAACATGGTCACAGAATAGGGAGTTTCAAGGAGGAGGAGGAGGTTGAGTACTGTGTCAAATGTTGTATATATGTCAAGGTAAAGAAATAAAGCCACTCTGTGGAAATCATTGCTGACTTTGATGAAAGAGGTTTTCTAAGAAGTAAAATGGCAAGACCCAGACTGCAAATGATGAAAGAGTAAATGGTTGGGAAATGATGGAGAAATAAATGTCAAGCTGAGCAGCTGGCAGAACTGAGTAAAATGTTTGGTTGGTTGGTTTTAGTTTTTTTTAAGATAAGGCAATTTGAGAGTTTTTATAAGCAAAGGAAAGGGACTTGTAGAGAGGCTGGCTGAAAGACATTAGGGATAAAACAGGTTATTGGAAAAAGTACTGTAAATGAGGTTAGATAGAAGATTAGTTTAGGAAGAGAGGAGGGGACTTTCTTTCTTAGAAAAAGGAACAAGAACCTAATGTAAGGATTTGGATCTGGTAAAAAAAAAATAAAAATAAAAAAGAAAAGAAAAGAAAAAGGAACAAGAAACGGGAAGGGCAATGAAACAGAGATTCTGAAATATTAAAGAGGAAATCTTAAGGAATTTGTATTAGTTGGTCTTGATCTGGTCAAGACCAGGTAAAGAGCAGAGACATAGCTGGATGTTTACAACTGATGTAAAATTTTACAACAGCTGCCATGAGAAATTAAGAAGTGATGAAAGGAATCTATGTTTTATAATTAGAATAATTTGGGGTAGACTTCATCAATGTAGTTTCATGACTTAGCTATTTTTTTCTTTTCTTTTTTTTTTTTTGAGACGGAGTCTCACTCTGGAGTGCAGTGGTGTGATCTTGGTTCACAGCAATCTCCACTTCCTGGGTCCAAGCGGTTCTCCCACATCAGCCTCCCAAGTAGCTGGGATTACAGGCACCCACCACCATGCCTGGCTAACTTTTGTATTTCTAGTAGGTAGAGACAGGGTTTTACCATGTTGGCCAGTCTAGTCTCTGTAACTCTTGACCTCAACTAATCTGCTTGCCTTGGCCTCCCAAAGTGCTGTGATTACAAACATGAGCCACCATGCCCAGCGGACTTAATGTTTTTCTATTTGTTATTTTTCAATTTTTAAGGCTCAGTTTAGAATTATTTTGGACAAAAACAGTATTTAAAGAAAAGACTTAGAAGGGTTTTACATTAAAATAAATATATTCTTTTTCTTTTTTCTGGTACGAAGTTTCATTTCTGTTGCCTAGGCTGGAGTGCAATGGCGCACTCTTGGCTTGCTGTAACCCCTACCTCCACAGTTCAAGCAATTCTGCCTCAGACTCCCAAGCAGCTGGGATTACAGACTTCTACCACCATGCCTGGCTAATTTTGTATTTTTAGTAGACATGGGGTTTCACTTTATTGGTCAGGCTGAAAATCAATATATTCTTGATGGTCCATAATATCACTCCAGGAAGTTTTAAACCAGGCAGGCTTTTATTGTTACCAAGCATGTTTCTAGATTTTCTTCGCCTCTCATTACAGTGTAGACAAGCTCAGTCAATGGAAACTAATTTTAGCATTGGATTAGGTAATACAAATGAGGATGGAAAATCTTTAAAAGTTATACTATATGTGTATTTTTGCTTAAAGTTTGAATCCAATAGCACTGGAGTACAAGTACCAACACAACACAGAGGCCAAAAGCACAGGCTGAACAAACTAGAATATTAAAATTCAGAAGTAAAATAGTAGAAATTCAAAGCTCTTACAGAGTTTGGAGGTAAGAAATGCTTATGCTCCATTTCTCATGTTTTTAGAGAAGCAAGGGAATATCCACTTAATTTCTAGGAGGAAAAACTATAGAAGAATTACCTCTGGTTTTTTTTTTTTTAACCTCTATCCCTCTCTCATTTAACCCTCCTCAAAGCAGGGATGCTTTATCTGACCGGAGAAGCTGAGAAGAGGAACTGAGTATGCGTGGCTCAACTTCTCTAGGTTCATTCTCTGCAGTGCAGTCTCAGAGGTCTCGCTTCCATATATAGGCCCTCCCAAGCATAAGAGGCCTTCCGTCCTGTGTTAAGTTTAATTTAGTTGGGGAAGTAGCGGAAAACTTATTTGGCTGCAGGTCCAAACTACATCCTCTAGTTCATGTTAGCCATACTAGCTATAAAGCTGATAAATATCATCTCTTTCTGCCTGTTGAAGTATGTTTCTATCAAGTGGGTCATAGATTGATGAACACACATACTCCCACTGTAAAGTCTGAGTTCCTGGCTTAGTTGGGCAAAGACACAAAACCTTTTTTTTTTTTTTTTTTTGAAACAGAGTCTCACTGTCGCCCAGGCTAAGTGTAGTGGCACAATCTCAACTCACTGCAACCTCTGCCGCCCAGGTTCGAGCGATCCTCCTGCCTCAGACTCCTGAGTAGCTGGGATTACAGGCATGTGCCAACATGCCTGGCTAATTTTTGTATTTTTAGTAGAGATGGAGTTTCACCATGTTGGTCAGGCTGGTCTTGAACTTCTAACCTCATGATCTGCTTGCCTCAGCCTCCCCAAGCACTGGGATTACAGGCGTTAGCCACCATGCCTGGCCCACAAAATCTTAAAAGCAAGGAGGCCAAAAAGAACAAGAGCAGACATTGCACATCACAGCACATGCCAGGATCCCTAACAAGGACACTCAACTGCTGGTGAGACTTCTACTGAAAACCATAATCCATTCTTACTTTTTTATACTCAGGATCCATAAGAACTCACCTCTTACCATTATGAGTAAAAATTAATTAAGACTTGACTATAAGTAGAGAAAAGTTTCTTTAGAACTTAAAAAAAAGACTGTCTTTTGACCCAAATGTAAACTGAATCAGTATTATACTGTATTTATACATATAAAGGCACTGATTAGTCAGGAACTCACCTTTACAGACTGGCTGTTGGCATCTTTGATATCAATGTCACTATAGGCAATGGTGATTAAGGGAGGGTAGATATTTCCATTTATTGTGTTGGGTACAAGGCGGATGCTATTTAAAAGAAAATACATTTATAGTAATCAGTATAACCAGGCCCTTAAACATACATTTAACTTACCATTTCTTTTGAATTTAATATGAATTGTCTGATGATCTCAGAACTAACCAGTTAACAAGGACCAAGGAAGGTTACACATAAACTAATTATGATAACACAAGCTACCTCAAGTGGTCAAAACTTAAAATATACCATCTGATTATGTAAGAAAAAACCAAAAATGTACCATCTGAGATAAATTAGAAGCTCAATCTAAGTCCTATGAAGTTTACAAATGAAATCACTGAAGCGCTATAAATTATATTTGAGGAATAATCAAAAGTACATGAAGCCTGAAGACAGGCAGATAAGATCTTGATTTTTTTATTTTTTAATTTTTATTATATTATTATTATTATTTTTTATAAGACGGGGTTTCACCATATTGGTCACGCTGGTCTCAAACTCCTAACCTCAGGTGATCTACCTGCCTCAGCCTCCCAAAGTGCTGGGATTACAGGCGTGAGCCACCGTGCCCGGCTAAGATCTTGATTTTCAAAAGAGAAAGATGAATTCTTAACAAAATAACATGTGATAGGCCAGGTGCAGCGGCTCATGCCTATAATCTCAGCGCTTTGGGAGACCAAGGTGGGAAGACTGCTTGAGCCCAGGAGTTCAAGGCCAGTCTGGGCAACATAGCAGGACTCTTGTCTCAAGATAAATAAATAAATTTTTTAAATAAAAAAAAAAAGTATGAGCTATAATATGGTTATGGCACAAAGTGAGGTTCATTTTACTAAATTCAATGTATTAGTACTGCATAGTTCATGAATTCAAAAAGGAAAGTGCCAATCAGTAGGGGCCAGCATGGTTTCATCAAGAACACATCAAGTCTGACTAGGTTCATTTTCATTTTTATTAGGGATACCATATTAGCAGATTGAAGAAATGCTGAAAACATAGTACATTTGGATGTCAGCATGATATATAACAAAGTTTCTGCACTGTTTATCTCATAAGATTATGAAAATCAAAATGAAATTACTGAAATAAAAGTATACTGAAGTACTTCAAAGTACCAAACTACCGAGAGATAATGGTGTTGATTTTCATCACTGTATTCAAGGTATACAACCTAAAACATTAGGGTAGGAAAGTCACTAAGATTTTAGAGATCTCACACTGGAAAAGACAGAAAAATATAAGTGGTATGGTACTCTCCTAAGGTAGGATCATAGGTTATCCTAGGAAGAAGGAGGTGTTGATAATTAATCCAGGTAAACCTAGAAAAAATGCCACTGAAAGAAATGAGGAAAGCGGAGTCCTAAAAATTAACAACCATCTGGCAGGCTCTTTCTAAAACACCAGTTTCAGCTCACCGGTATTTACTTAGCTATTTGCAATGCATTCTAATTCAGCAGGTCTACATGGGACCTAGAATGTGAATTTTACCTAACTCCTCACACTCCTCTGTTACAGTTTTCCCCTTGGCTATTCACTTTTACTGGTCTATGCCAATCTACACGTATACCTAAAATAACCTGACCAATTGTTCCAATTCAGTTGTCCTTAATGTTTTCATCTACTAATGACTGGCAAATACTTCCATTATGACATTTTCCCATAAATATCATTAGACATTTGTTTACCTCAGTGATATTTGGGTAGCAACTCGAATTACTCTTGGCTGACTTCCTAAGTCATTTTCTCGTCCACTTACTGCATCCACTAAGAAAATGCGCCGAGTTAGAAGCCACTTGCCAGAGTTGCTGTCTTTTATTATAAAAAGAAAAAAGCTTATTGAACAAATTTAAAACACAAAATTATTGTTTTAGATAGGATGGCTGCAAGAAGCTATTGGTATAACAAACACCTGACAATGGCCTTCTCTAACTCATGTGAATGTCTTCTTTTGTTGTTTTTTTAGATAGGGTCTCGCTCTGTTGACCAGGCTATAGTACAGTAACATGATCATTGGCTCACTGCATTCTCGACCTCCTGGGCTCAAGTGATCCTCCCAACTCAGCCTCCAGAGTAGCTGGGACTGCAAACGGGTGCCACCACACCAAGCTATTTTTTTTTTTTAGCAACAGGTTTTCATTATGTTGCCTAGGTTGGTTTCGAACTCCTAGGCTCAAGCAATTTTCCCGCCTTGGCCTCCCAAAGTAATGGGATTATAGGTGTGAGCCACCACATACTGGACTTGAATGTCTTCTGATTGTTTAAACTTTTCATAAATTTGGAAGGCTTTTCCCTGCAAATTACCTGAAAAAGCAGGATTTCATAACACGAATAACAACAAAAGAAACTAATTTGTCCAAAAAAGCATATTCAGGACAGCTTGAAGAAAAAGCCCCAATTTACAGTTCTACTAATGTTTCTCAGGATATACCCTTAGCAACAGTATAATTTCTTAACAATATGTCTGGCAATAAAATTAGTAAAAATTTTTGAATCCACCAGCAATTTATTGTTTTATTTTTTGGCATGCTGTATTGAACCATGTAAGAGAGAATTCATGACCTTTCTTATAATCAGTGGTTTATTAAATTATCATGTGGGTTAAATTATTTATTGATTTCTGCTTAGGGAAAGAGTGGTATGTATGGATGTCTTACCTTGGTTCACAAACATCTTATTGTGCTGAAGATTTAGGTTTAACACAGGCACAGCCAAAATATATTGATGTTGATTTTCATCAGCATATTCAAGGTACACATCATAAAATATAGGAGTGGGAAAGTCAGTTAAGATCTTAGAGATAGGAATCTCACACTGAAAAGTAAAATTAGAAATAAAAGCATATAAAACAGCAACTTAAAGTACTAAAAAGTAAAATAAAAAGATAAAAGATCACAACTGAAAATTAGCAAGCACATTTATTATCTTCAGAGTGTTTTTCTAGCTTTGCAAAATATCTTTATGCTACCTTGTCTATATGCATTTCCATTTGGCTTCCAAAGCATGAATACTGTAAATACAATTATTTTATAAGGACCAAAAACACCAACAGTAAAGAACTGCTTTTTTCTTGAGCCTCAACTCAGATGAAGAAGGTATGCCTTCATTGTCAATATTAAGTGTACATCCATGAAAAGGTTTAAAACTACTGTTCTGTGGGATAAAGTCCCAATTTTTTTTCCTGATGTACAATGATGCCTACAATCTGGCTTCCATTAACCAAGCCAGGCTTATCTCTCACTACTCCCTATCAGTCTCTGATGGTCCATTCATACTAATTTACTTGCAGTTTCTGAATATGCCATGCTATTCCAAGTCTCTCTGTCATTGCAAATGCTATTCTATGTCTTTCTGTCTGACATTTCCTTCCCTACTGTGTTCTCCTGACAAACTCATATTCATTATATAAGCCCAAATATCACTTACTTTGTGAAGCCTTTCTATAGTTCCTCAGAAATCAGTACCTTGTACATACCTACAGAATGACAATTACCACATTCTTTGCAATTATTTGTCTATATAACTGTTCTGCCCACTAGGCTATGAACTACTTGAGAAGCAGCCAGGTTCAATGAAATTAAAATGCTTTTTAAACCTGATGGAACACTGGCTCCACAGTTTATGTGACAGAAGACTTTGGGTAAATTACCCAATTATTTGGCATTATTTCCTCATCTGGAAAGCAAAGATATTATGTATCTCACATAGTTATTTTATAAATCAAACGGGATAATGATGATAAAATGCTAGGCACATAGAGACGGGCATTGCATAAGTGTTGATCTTCCTGGCCTATGTTAGAAGCACAATAACATTTATTTTAAAAACAATAACAGGGCTGAGTGTAGTGGCTCACGCCTATAATCCCAGCACTTTGGAAGGCCCAAGGCAGGTGGATCACGAGGTCAGGAGTTCAAGACCACACTGGCCAACATGGTGAAAACCTGTCTTAAAAAAAAAAAATTTTACAAGGGAGGGGAATGTCACATACCGGGCCTGTTGGGGGGTGGGGGTCTGGGGAAGGGATAGCATTAGGAGAAATACCTAACGTAGAGGACAGGTTGATGGGTGCAGCAAACCACCATGGCACATGTATACCTATGTAACAAACCTACATGTTCTGCACATGTACCCCAGAACTTAAAGTATAATAATAATTTAACAATTAAGAAAAGCAAAAAACAAACAAACCAAAAGCAACAACATGTAAATCATTTCTGACAGAAGTAAATTTATGTTCATGGTAGAAAATCTGGAAATTATAAAGAAGGAAACAAAAATAATTTCTAACCTCACTATCTGGACGTAACCAATGTTAAAAATGTTTATTTTCTTCCAATCCACTTTCCATAATGGTATTTTTTGTTCTGGTTTTGTTCTATGGTTGTATGTGAAACTTTATCAAGAAGGATTTTTACAGACTAACGAATTGACATAGTTTGGCTGTGTCCCCACCCAAATCTCATCTTGAACTGTAGTTCCTATAATCCCCATGTGTCATGGGAAGGACCCAGCGGGAGGTAAGTGAATCATGGAGGCAGTTACCCTCATGCTGTCCTCATGATAGTGAGTGAATTCTCACGAGATCTGACGGTTTTATGAGGGGCTTTTCCCCCTTTTGCTTGGCACTTCTCTTCCTGTCACCATGTGAAGAAGGACATGTTTGCTTCCCCTTCCACCATGATTGTAAGTTTTCTGAGGCCTCCTAAGCCATGTTGAACTGTGAATCAATAAAACCTATTTCTGTTATAAATTACTCAGTCTTGGGTGTGTCTTTATTAGCAGTGTGAGAATGGACTAATACATGCATGTCTTTCAAGTATTTAATGGCTCATAATATTCCTTAGTAAGATAATGTTATTTCAAAATAGGTATCAAAGTAAGGAAGGTCAGAGGAGAAAGAAAAGAACTGAGAAAGATGAAGGAATTATTTTTATTTGTTATTAGGGGGTAGAAAAAGAAGGTAATAACTTTTTATTAGTCATATTTTTAAAAAGTAGTATTTTGGTTGGTCCGAAGGTGGTAGTGAGTTATCTCAGTTGATTGTTCAGAGTCAGTTACAGATGGAACTCCTTGTTCTACTCTTTCCCTCTTCTCACTATTGCACTTAACTAGTCTTTTATTAAAAAAAAAAAAAAAAAAGTAGTATTTTTACTGTATTTCCAAATGCTCAGAAATAAACATTACTTTTTAAGACCTATAAGCCTAGCCAGGCATGGTGGCTCACACCTGTAATCCAAGCAATTTGGAGGCCAAGGTGGGTGGATCACCTGAGGTCAGGAGTTCAAGAGCAGCCTGACCAACATGGTGAAATCCCGTCTTTAAAAAAAAAAAAGACCTATAAGCCTAGAAGCAGATAAACAATTTATTATGAAGATACAACATTATATGCTGTTTAAGACTCTAGGCCGGGTGAAATGGCTCACACCTGTAAATGGCTCCAGCACTTTGGGAGGCCAAGGCTGGTGGCTCACCTGAGGCCACGAGTTTGAGACCAGCCTGGTCAACATGGCAAAACTCCATCTCTATGAAAAGCACAAGAATTAGCCAGGTGTGGTGGTGCATGCCTATAGTTCCAGCTACTCGGGTGGTTAAGGCACGAGAATTGCTTGAACCCAGGAGGCAGAGATTGCAGTATGAGCTGAGATCTCACCACTGCGTTCCAGCCTGGGTAACAGAGTGACACTGTCTCAAAAAAAACTATAGATAACAAGATGCTCTGTTTATGCCACTTAAATTAAGATTTTCTGTACCCAGATAAAAAATTATATTAATTAGTGAAATTATTCATTACTGTTAAAAACATTTCCAATCTCAAAAATTTAATTATTATTCCAATTACTGTTGATGTGATATTTTGAAAAATAAAGCTAAAATATAAACTAATATAGTTCAGACTTACATTTTGTTGGTAGGTTGTTCCAAATGAATAAGCAGCATTGAGCCTTGTCTCTGTGTCTGGACAAAGCTACAGTAAAAGAATACAATAGATAAATATCTCTCACAACTATTTTCTATGCTTATACTCAAGAGTTCTCAAACTCAAACATGTATATATGCTCTACATAACACTTATTTAATGTATTAAGGATATGAAAAGTTAAGGGATTATAAATTAAAGTCATAACTTTAAAAGAAAGAAACTTAAGAAATTTTCGTTTAAAGCACCAGGAAAAAAAAAAGTCAACTGCAGTATGTAACTGATGCTCTATTCATACAATAATCTAGTCTTTTCCTCTTGTCTTTGCCTCAGGCAAAATCTAGTCTTTTCCTCTTGTCTTCTCAGGCAAAGCCTGAGGCAAAGACAAGAGGAAATAAATAAGGCACATTATTAATTCTTTAACTAGAATCATGCTTACCTGTAAAACACCTCCTTCTAAAGTTTGCCACTTGAGAAAATTTCCTCTTATATCATAGGAAGCAGCAACAAACTTCAGTTTTGTATTCTAATTAAAGAAAACAAGAGCAAAATCAGGTCAAATACTCTGAAAGTAATACAGTAGCCTATAAAGAAATTTTCATTGTTGATTCAACTTTTTTGTTGAAAAATTACATTCAATTACCTTTGTTTTCAGGCTTAATCTATTTTTATGACTAAATACACCTAAAATAATTGGACTGGTTTTTTGCATGAAAATTATTATTCTAGAATTGAGAGGCAACACTACTGATAGATAAGCTCCTTTCGAACCTGTTAAATGGGAGTCAGTGTGGGAGAATAGTATCTGCTCAGTCTGGAAGCTCCAAAAATTAGAGGTGGGAATTTGGCCCTGTGAAGTGCTGGGCAATGTCACAGGGCCCCAGTCAATCCTCGGAAGCACTTCTTTAAGATATGAAAAAACAGGACAGAAATTTTTGCATTTGGTGATGAAAACTACTCTTCCCAAACCTACAAGTACTGTGTCTTGCCATAACCACATAATCTAGAAGTATCCATATATTCGATAAGATAGCTAAACTCTATACTGTTTAGTTCTTATAAGTTGCTGACATTTATATTTAGTAACTGAGTTTGTAGCAACAACCTAAAAAGACAAGAATTGTAACTTTTTTATTACCTTTTAAAATTGTAAATCAAAATGTAGTTATCCTCTAATGATATTAGAGACTTTTACCTGGTTTTCTCCTTTGAAACTGAAATTTGTAGGAAGAGAAGTAGTACTGAGCACTTGAGGTGCTAATCCTAACTGGTCTCCATAAAACAGCCAAGGAAGATTCTGTCTCCTATAAACAGTTACAACTGTTTTAATAATGGAGAATAAATATTTCTTATTATTAATATTTGTGAATATATTAATATAATGAATTCAGTAAAAATAACATTTCATTAATCAAAATATCCTTACCAAAATGAAATAGAATGAATAGCGCCCAGTCCAGCAGCATTTTCAAAGATAAACTGAAATAGTCGACACGCATCAAATGTGGCAGAGTTGTAAGAATTCATGTTCATCACACACATATTTCCAAGAGCTTGACAAGATGTTAGATTGGCATATACCTATAACAGAACAATGGCAAAGAAAAGTAACATGAATCTGAACAGTCTATGCAAAAGTTCATATAAAAATTTTACTTTAATTTTACTTATTCTAGGCCAGATGTGGTGGCTCATGCCTATGATCCCAGCACTTTGGGGGGCCGAGGCAGGCAGATCACTTGAGGAGTTTGAGACCAGCCTGGTTAACGTGGTGAAACTCTGTCTCTACTAAAAATACAAAAATTAGCTGAGTGTGGTGGCATGCACCTGCAGTCCCAGCTACCTGGGAAGCTGAGGCAGAAGAATATCTTGAGCCCAGGAGGCAGAGGCTGCAGTGAGTTGAGATTCTGCACTCCAGCACTCCACCCTGGGCAACAGGGTTAGACTCTTATCTCAAAAAAAAAAACAATTTTTTTTTTTTTTNTTTATATTCTTTTGCTTGTTAAAAACCTTTCCTCTGGCTTAAGTAGAAAATAAACTTTCCACGTGGGAAGAGAAATAACATGAACATTTTAATTGCAAATTTTAGGCTAAAATATAAAGACAAGAAACTGAAAGAAGAACTAAAGAAAAACTCATAGCACAAGATTTAAAAAAAAACAATTAGACTATATTTGGAAGAATAATAATTTGTATATTAGAGTTTACACATAAAATCTAATCTATTTTGTTTAAGTAATCTGCTCTATAAACAACAAAATAAGATCATTTGTTGAGTTTGCCTCTCAACCTTCTTCCTTAGTTTTCCCTATCAGGAGAGGGCAATTCCATTTTTACACTTATTCACATGAAAAACTTTGAACTTTTTTTCTCCCTTGCCCCATATCCAGCTCATGAATAAATCCTGTAAGCTAAATCTTCAAAGCATAGCTGAAAGTAAACCTTTGTCTAATTTCCATAGTACTACTTTGTGCAATGGTCCACTATCTCTCACTCAAGTTCCTCTAATACTCTCCTAAATGGTCTCCCTGCTTCTGTCCTTATCCCAACAAATTCTGTTCTCCATGCTACAGTAATCCTTTCAAAAGCTGAAGTTCTATCATGTCTTCCTTTGTATGAAATCCTTTTAACTCCCTTAAATTAAGCCCCAGGTTCTTGCCATAGCCGCTCCCTATATCCCTGACCTCATCTTCACTCCACTTTTCCTGCTCACTCTGCTCCAGCCACTCCAGCCGTCTCCTTTTCTCTTAAGTATGAATAAGTCAGTAAACTCTGCTTTGAGACCTTTGCTCCTGCTATGGTTTCTGCTTACAATACACTTCCCCTCGATGTTTACATGGCTCACTCACACTGTTTTCAGTTCTTTGCTCAAATATAGCCCTCTCAGAGGTGTCTGCCCTGATCACTACATAAAATAGCATCCCCCACCCCCTCTATGTTCTTTACTCTTAATTATTTGCCTTCATAGCACTTAGCACAACCTGACATTTACTTAGACTGTAACTCCATGAGGGATGTTTTTCTCTTTTTCTAAAATATCTAACCTGATTTAAGAACTGGGCCTGGCACACAGTAGGTCATCAATAAACATTTACTAAGTGACAGTCAGTTTCCCCTAACACTCATTTTCAGCTAAAAAAGCTTGGAGACATTCAATTTGTATATATTAAATAACATCTTCTTTATGTATTCTCTTTCAGCCCACTAGAAAGGGTTTATTCTTCTTATAAAATTATGACCAAGATGCTATAGCTACTTAGAAACTTTTATTATCTGGGTAAAAAAATGGTACAATTCTTCAAAATGAAATGAAATTTATTTAAAAAATTCAAACTTACCCAACATGCAGCTGCCGATGATTGCAAATACTTTGCAAACCATTCTGAAGTTAAATACATGCCCTGTAAACAAAAAGATGAATTTTATCTTTAAGTTCGAATGATGCCAATATGCATATTGCTGAATGAGAAGTGTCTCACATTACTTTCACAATGTTAGTGGAAAAACAGATACTAATAGGAACACAAAAATTGATTTTTAACCAATGTCAGTTATTATAAATAGGACTGCATTACAAAATCATGACACTTAGGCAAAAGTTACAAAGAGACAAAATGGGTCTATAATCCAAAAATACTACATGCCTATTTCACTAACATAAAAAATATAGTGGCAAACAAAAGAAAAAATAATAGATCCTGACTTACTATTGAGTGGTTAATATTTATTGGCTTAGAATTATTATAAATACTGTAACAAACTGGCAAGCAACAACAACAACAAAAAAAAAAAATGGGGGAAATCATTTCAAATCTCCAAAATGGTGCTTCTCAAACAATGGTGGGCATCACAATCAGCCGCAGAACTTTCTAAAAGCAAAAAATGACTGGCTTCATCACAAACAAAAAAGAATCAGAGTCTCCAGATGAGATCAAGGCAATTACATGGGTTTTGAAGACTATAGATAACAAAGCCATGGTTAAAAACCATTGCTTTAAAGCTTATCTGCACATCTTGCTAAAATATGAGAAACTAAGAAGCACCATTCAGAGAAAATTCTCTGGGAATAGACAGAAATGATATAACTAAATTACATGAACATGGGACCACAGCGATAAGATAGATCTATAATAAAAATATGAGGTACTATTTTCTTATCTTTAATAGGCAAAAAATATTTTGTAAGAAAAAAACATGCACAGAAGGCTGAAGAACACACACACACACACACACACACACACACACACACACACAGGTAAAAATGGAATGCAACACAACAGTACTGACAAATGTATGTAAAATGGAGCCAGATATAATGCCACTGATAATGTAAAAGTTGCATGATACTTTTATAAAGCAATATCCATATACTCTAACCCAGAAACTTAGAAACATTTAGGAAATTTATCTTAAGGCAATTATCACTCCAAATGGGAAAACATATTTAGTGCATAAAACGATTGACAGCAATATAATTAATAACTGAAAACCTAAATATTCTCTGGAGATACAATTATGCAAATTTTAGTGCATAAGCCAGAATATTATGGAACTATTAAAAAATATAATATACAAAGTGAGTCTGGAACATGGTATAGAGAAACCAAGGAAACACCTAAAGTCTAAAGAAGTCACATCAAAACAACACAGGAGCTATGCTGAAAGGAAGTTCAAATTTGGTACAACTTGAACTTCGAAAAGAAGAATACCAGTAATAGATTACAAATAATCTATATAAACAAAGATTATATAAACAAAGATTCTATGAGTTCATAATAAAGCTTTAAAAAGAAAAAGCACAGAGAAAAAGTAAACTGCTTCTACAGACAATTGCTAGCTAATAAATGTAGAGGGAATAATAGGGTTTTTATCGGAAATGACCAGTTTAATAATTGATACAGGCAAGATTCATTAATGAATGCTAAAATGGATATTTAGTCTCAAAGTTAAATTTCAGACTAAAGTATTAATCACAGTACCTTTACAATGGAAAGAAGTGGCAGACACAACTATGACCAATAAATCAAATTTTTTTTTTTTTAAAGACGGAGTTTCACTCTTCTCACCCAAGCTGAAGTGCAATGGCGTGATCTCAGCTCACTACAACCTCCGGCTCCTGGGTTCAAGCGATTCTCCTCCATCAGCCTCCCAAGTAGCTGGGGTTAAAGGAGCCTGCTGCCACACCTGGCTAATTTTTATATTTTCAGTAGAGACAGGGTTCCACCATGTTGGCCAAGCTGGTCTTGAACTCTCGACCTCAGGTGATCCACCCACCTTGGTCTCCCAAAGTGCTGGGTTTACAGGTGTGGAGCTACCACACCCGGCCTAGCTATCAAATTTAGTATTACCAATAACTGAACAACCTGACAGACATTACATCTCCTTGTTGTGATGCAATGGGCTGTATCTGTATACAACATCTATATAATATCTTGCAAAAATGTGTTTCACTGAGTCTAATAATGAGAAAACAACCAGAAAAACACAGAAGAGAAAATCATAAAAGCAAAGTGAAGCAGGGATCTGTTCTAGACTAAAGGACACTAGAAAGACTAACTGCAATGTGTGATCCTTGACTGGATCCTAGGTCTCAACATAAACTAATAAACATGTATTCTGGTTTATCAATTAATCTAATCTCTTCTGAGTTTAATTACTGTAAACAATTCCTTAAAATCTGACTGACCTACAAATACTTGGATAAAACTGAGTTCTCATTCTTGCAAACTGAGGACTAGGTGAGGGTAGTCAAACCACCTTAACTAGATTTTGCTTACATGATTCTTTTTTTTTTTTAAAGATGGGGTTTCACCATGATGGCCAGGCTGGTCTTGAACTCCTGACCTCAGGTGATCCATCCACCTCGGCCTCCCAAAGTGCTAGGATTACAGGCTTGAGCCACCGCGCCCGGCCTGCTTATATGTTTTATAAACTGGCTACACGGAACCAGTCTGAACTTCAGTTGCAACATGACTTAAAATCAGGAATTCCAAACCTGTCCTTAGGAAAGAATCGGTGTTTAGAACCGGTATGTTTAGCGCACAATTGCTGTGGTGATGTCATGCTCTCCCTAGCCAGGTCTGAGCCTCGACAGATGAGGGACAGACATTCATGGCAAATGGGACCGCTCTTCTCATTCCTCCTATGGGCCCCTCGCCTCTCCTCCCTGCCCTTGGGAAGTGTGTGGGATGCAAGGATGCATAATCCGGCTGACCTTGAGACCCCACCCTCTGCCTCATGACATTGGCAGTACTGGGGGGGTCATCTGAGGCAGCAGGCACCCATTGCTGGCCTCTTAATGCCGTTGCCTTGCAGGAGGCCCTCTTTTCAGTAGTAGGAGCTACCCCACCAGCCTGCCAGGCTGCCCTTCCCTGCCCACGCCGGTGTTGCTCTGCTAGACTTTTGCAGTTCTCCTGGGGCGCTCCGGTTGTCCCTCAGGTGGCCCAGGCCCAATGGTGGTGTCGTTCCTGTTCCCAGTGCCCCATCCTCCAGTCACCACTGCAGTGTCTGCGTGTGGGACCCAAAAAGTACTGGGGAGGGTTGAGGTGTTTTTTTTTTTTTTTTTTTAATTTAGTTTTAATTTTTAAAAATCTGGTTTGTTTAAATGAAATACATTAACTGAATCAGAACAACATTAAGGATGGAACCTCCCTACCCACCTATCAAAGAAGTCTACAATGAGTCAATTGCATGGTGCTATCACAGGAGGGAGAATGTGGAGGTGGAAGAGAAAGTGAGGTGGTTGGAAGATTGGTTACATTGACCATATGAATAAATAGAGTATCGATAATGAACCCCAGATTTTCACCACTGGAGAAGATATATAAAACCTATCAAAAGGAAAGATTAGAAAGAACCCTGAGGTATTGCTTCAGAATTGAAGGTATCTGTATCAGCTATTTTTATTTTATTTTATTTATTTATTTTGAGATAGAGTCTCACTCTGTCACCCAGGCTGGAGGGCAGTGGTGCGATCTTGGCTCACTGCAACCTCTGCCTTCCAGGTTCAAGCAATTCTTCTCCCTCAGCTTCCCAGTAACTGGGATTACAGGTGTGCACCACTATATCCAGCTAATTTTTATATTTTTAGTAGAGACAAGGTTCCACCTTGTTGGCCAGGCTAGTCTCAAACTCCTGACCTCAAGGGATCCACCTCGGCCTCCCAAAGTGCTGGGATTACAGGTATGAGCCATTGTGCCTGGTCCATTTATTTTAGTATATATACACAGACATAGAAATAATCATAGATGTGTATATGTATATTTGTGTATATTTCCTAGCTATGTTTGCTGAGAGGACATAATAAGTGTGTTAATCTTGGTTTCTAAATATTATCCTTCAAAACTAATTAAAGAAATGGTTGACTCCAGCTGGGTATGGTGGCTCATGCCTATAATCCCAGCACTTTGGGAGGCCAGGGCAGGCAGGTCACCTGAAGTCAGGAGTTCAAGACCAGCCTGACTAACACGGACAAATCCCATCTCTAGTAAAAATACAAAAATTAGCTGGGCATGGTGGCACATGCCTGTAATCCTAACTACTTGGGAGGTTGAGGCAGGAGAATCGCTTGAACTCAGGAGTTGGAGGTTGCCGTGAGCTGAGATCGAGCCATTGCACTCCAGTCTGGGCAACAAGAGCAAAACTCCATCTCAAAAAAAAAAAAAAAAGAAATGGCTGATTTCAGGGCTGAAGGAGGAAAAGTGGAAAAGTATAAGATCAACCTAGAAATCTTGTTGTATCATAAAGTAAGCAAATGTTGAAAGAATGATGGAGACATGTCCAAAAAAAAAAAAAAAACATGCAGGTGCCAACTTGAAAGGACTTTTATTGGTCAGATATAGGACAATTTGAGCATCAAAACAAATAATGAGTACACTAGATTATAACTTACTGAATAAATTAGAAACCCATAAATCCACGTGGACATTAATTTTTTAAAATAAGTATATAGTCTGGGTGTGGTGGCTCATGCCTGTAATCCCAGCACTTTGGGAGGCGGAAGGGGGCAGATCGAGAGGTCAGGAGATTGAGACCATCTTGGCCAACACGGTGAAACCCTGTCTCTACTAAAAATACAAAAAAATTAGCCAGGCATGGTTGCACGCACCTGTAATCCCAGCTACTCAGGAGGTGGTGGCAGAAGAATCGTTTGAACCCCGGAGGCGTAGGATGCGGTGAGCTGAAATCGCACCACTGCACTCCAGCCTGGGTGACAGAGAAAGACTCCATCTCAAAAAAAAAAAAAAGTAAGTGTATAAATGGGGAAGAAGAGATAGTTCTTCTTTACAATAGCATGTCAATTAATAAATGTGGAAGTAATCAAATGTGGGTGGAAATCAAAAATTAACCTTTGGCAACCATCATCAACAATGGAGACTAATGCTAGTGGGTTAAGGGTTAGTGAGGAAGTGTCATTTTAGAAATACTCCTCACAAAATACTAATCAATTACAAATGGAAAACGGTAACTTTATGGTAGCCATCGTGACTTTAGGGCAGGTGATCAAAGTTAACAGCATCAGTGGTGGCACGGGTAGATATTGTGTGCCCCTGGATGTGATGCAGTGCACTAAGAAGAACATGGCATCTTTTTTGTGGCTTTTAGCCAAGCAGGTACTGAATATGAGGAAAGTATCTGTAGGATGGTAAGGCCTGTAATCTTCAAAACTGTTGCATTCATGAAAAACAGGAAACACTGAGGACCTGGTTCCAGATTGGAGGAAGCTAAAGGGACATCACCACTAAGTGATTGGGGATCTCAGACCAAAAAGAACAAAGAGCCATTGTTGAGATTTCCAGCAAAATTATTTCAACTTATTTGAAAAAAGAAAAAAGGAAAATTAATACCTGCAAAGTTAATAATCATATACACACATTCACTCTAATCTGGAGAAGAATGACCCAGAAGACATGTACCTTGTTACAGATGAGGCAATTATTAGATAATCTCAGAGCTCCCTATGTATACACCTATTTTAGCATTTATTTTGTTGTCTTGTAACTACTTTGTACTTGCCTGTCTTCTTCACAAGACTATACTGGAGGAGAGGAATTTTTGCTTGATTCATCAAGATCCTAGATCCCAACCTTATCATTGCTACCCTCACAGTCCCCTTAATCACTCCTATATTCAATAATATTAACAATAATGATATTAACAACCAGATCACAGCCTGTCCACCCCAAGCTCTGACATACTAAGGCATCCTCAATGTTTGGAATTCCTATTCTAACTCCTAGTTATCTAACTCTTGTTCTCTTGGATTTGTGATCTCTTCAGTTACAATTCATCTACTTACTTTCCATTTTATACCCTAGAACTAGTTAACACCAGCATCTGTTGCCAAAGCTCTAACTCCAGGCCTCAGTAATCTCATCCATAAAATAAGGAACAGTCTGGCCAAATAAGAATAATCCTGGCCAGGCGAGGTGGCTCATGCCTATAATCCCAGCACTTTGGGAGGCTGAGGTGGGCGCATCACCTGAGGTCAGGAGTTTGAGACCGGCCTGGTCAACATAGTGAAACCCCATCTCTACTAAAAATTAAAAAAAATTAAGGCCAAACGCGGTGGCTCATGCCTGTAATCCCAACACTTTGGGAGGCCAAGGCAGGTGGATCACCTGAGGTCAGGAGTTTGAGACCAACCTGACCAACAAGGTGAAACTCCATCTTTAAATAGATTAAAAAAAAAGAAAAAGAAATTAGCTGGGCATAGTGGCTGGTGCCTGTAATCCCAGCTGCTCAGGAGGCTAAGGCAGGAGAATAGCTTGAACCCAGGAGGCAGAGGTTACAGTGCCACTATACTCCAGCCCTGGCAACAGAACTTCCATCTCCAA